TGTTTGTAACAATACTTTAAAATATTTGAAACAAAAAATGATTCATATTAAATAAAAATAAATCAATTACATTTGATTGCCAATAGTCTTGATAAACCAAAACAACTTGGTTCATGAGACCCAGTAAATACGTCATCACCTAATCCAGTTGGGTCATCATAAAAATCTTTGAATTGATTCATTATCATACTTTTTCCACCATCCGATATTCTAAAACAAAGAATAGCAGAAATAACAGCATCTAATTCATTTGGTTGATTCCAAAACATCATTGTTTTATAACAATCTTTTTTAATAAATTTAATTGGTTGAATGTTATGAGGATTACGTAATGTAAAAACAAAGAAACCAGGGTCTTTTCCAAAGAATGTTGTATGTTCTTCATGACGAACAATTGGTACTCTTGTTGCTGTAAATGAACCAAATAAATCATTATTATCAGTTTCTACAAGAAGGAGTACATCAGTTAAACCTTTAATTTTACTATTAAGACCTCTTAATGATAACTCATCAATAGAAGAGTCATAAATAATTTTAAAATGTGATTTGTTAGTCCATTGTTTAAGATAAGAAATATAATCAACCATTGAATAATCTCTCACTTTAATTTTATCAATATCTGATTTCTTCTGAAGTATATCAATCTTCTTTTTTAATAATTTAACGTCAGTTTGAATAGAATTATAAGTTGTTGATTGACTCAAAAATAAAGGATTTTCTTCGTTTAACTCTTTTCCTTTTTCATTTTTATCTACTTTAACACACCTTCGATCAACTAAATTTTTAAGTTCTTTTAAGCTAGTTTCAATATTTTTAATACTTTCTTTTAAGATTGAGACTGTCTTTTCAAATGTCTTTTTCTCAACAAATACTTCTTTCTTTTTATCAAAAATCTCAACTTTTTTGCCATTTCCTTCTTCGGTTAATTTTCTATCACTATTGTTATATAAATGGATTGTCCCATTATTTTGAATATAAATTTTACCGTTAAACTGACTGACATCCATTTCTTTTTTTTTGTTCTTTTTTAGTTACGCTCATCTTTTTAAACAATCTTTTAAAAAAAATAGAAAACAAAAATTATAAATGAATTATTTTTATAGGATTAATATCTCAATATACCATTAGCAGTCTTGATTAAGTGTCTTTAGTCAACGAAAAGTATTTTTTGTTGATGGCAGTAATTCCTTATAGCACAATTTCTTTTATAATGTCATATATTAGTTCAAAAAGAAATTTGATGAACAGAATAAAATTCTTAAGAACGAGTAATACAAATACTTATTTCGCAATGATAAAATGTTTGAAAGAATAACGATTCATATTAAAGAAAATAGATAAAGTTTAGTAATTAAATTGATGTATTTGTTAAAACGAAATAACACAAAGAACATAAAAATTCAATAATTCTTTATTTTTTTGATGGAGTAAATGCACAATATTCTCCATCCATAATTTTCTTTGAATACTTCCAATATTCACCAAATATTTGTGCATCAGTAAATACTTTATCTAAATATTTAAATCCAGCAATAATGAATGGATTATTTTCATCTTGTAAATCAGCAATTTGTGCATTTAAAGGATCACTTGAACTTTCTTCATTAAAGTTATAATAATCAATCAAGAATTTAGTACAAACAGTAGTAAATACACATGCAACTAATTGAGCAATAAGGTCAGGTGAAATATTTTTTCCATTTTTTTGTCTTTTTTTAATAATGTCTCTAATATCAGGAAGAACAGTACCATTAATTCGTTTAAGAGGTTGAATAATTAAAACAAGTTCCGTATTTTTAGTATATTGTAATAATACTAATGTTTCTAATATAAATAATTGTTGATAAATCTCTTTTATTGTTATCATATTTTCTAATGCATCAATATATCTTTTGGTTAATGTTGTTATAACATTTTTACGTTGAGTTAAAGTAAACATAGTATAAATTGAACTTAATGGATGTGGAATTCTTGATAATAAATGTTCATTTCCTCTTAATTGATATCCTTCAGTCACTCCTTCACTAAAACGACATAATATTAATGAACTGTGTTTTTCTCCAATTAGTCTTAATAATGAAATTGAATTAGAAGAAGTTAATTGTGTTTTATCAGTAACTAATGCAATTAGTGATGATATTAATTCAATTGGATTAATTAATCCTTTTTTAATAATTGAAGATGCTAAAGTCAATGCCCTATATCTAATTAGTGCATTTGTTGATTTTAATAAAGGAATTAACTCTTTTGTATGTTGTTGAGCAAGAGTCATTTGTAAAACAGATAATTCATCTGTTGAAATAGCTTCAAATAAGTCATTTAATAAAGATAATGTAGAACCACATAATTGTTCATGATTTGTTTGTAATGTTTTAGAAATATATACAGTAAAATAATTTTTAATTGATTCGTATTGAATATATAATCCTGGGTATTGTTGTAATAATCCAAATATTGCATTCATTTGGCAAATAAGTGCAACATTTGTCTGTGATTTTACAAGTAATAATTTATTAAATAATTCAACTGGAATAGGTTTATCTCCAGCTGGAAATAATTGTTTTAATGCATTAGTATTACTAATATCAATACTTCTAAATAATACTGCTAATACACTTAATGCTCTTTGTCTTACTTGTATATTTTGTGATAAATTCATAAATTGAACACAAAACTCTCCTATTCTTTCAATTTCATTTTTCTTTAATTCTGTTTCAATAAAACACTTAACTGATAATGAAATCATTGAAGGATTAGTTGCGGTAAATGTTAAATTCATTGTTGTTGATGATATTTTTTTTAAAACAATTTCATCAGCTTTATTTACAATTAATGTTGGAATAACAATAACCATTAATTCTAATACATTATTTGTTTGAATAATATCTTCTTGTGAAATATAACTAAGTAATAAACTTAATTTAGAACAAATACGTGATTTAGTAGTAATGTCTTTTGCTGTTGTTTTTAATATTAATATTACTTTATTAAACTTATCACTTACTAATTGATTAAGTAAATACTCTTGTAATTGTTGCATTTGCATTGAATTAAAATTATCTAATAATTGTGAAATTGCTTCTAAATATTCTGTTTCTGTTACATCAATTAATAATGATATTTTTTTAGAATCTAGTGGTATAAATACTTCTCTTAAAATTCGTTTTGCTTCTTCTCTATCATTTTGTCTATCTGGACGTGATGCAATTAAAAATATTCGTTTTAATAAATCTATAGCATGTGATTCTGGTGTAGAAATCATTTCTTTAAGATGATGTAATACTATTTTAACTGCCTTCTTCCTTACTGATACTGAAATATCAAATAATCTATCAACAACATCATTAACTTCTTTAGTTTCTAATTGTGTTGCAATTAAGTCTAATGCACTTTCTCTAACTGAAGCAGCTTTATCTCTAAGTCTTGATATAATTAATTTTTGAACAATATTTCTTTTACAAATGTTTTCTGAAAGTTTAATTAGACTAAGTATTCCTTTTAATGAACGAGAACGAACTAATGCTTGTGAGTCAGTAGTCATTTTTAATAAACAATTAATACACATTTCTGATATAGTTTTAAATTCTGGTATTATTATAGAAAGATAAGAATATCTATCAAATGGAATAAATTTATTAATACTTTCAGGTATTGATACTCCTCCAATAATAAAATGACTTGCTGGTTCTTCCCACCCAATTTGTGTTTCAATAATTTGTTTATTTTTTTCATCTTCAGGATCAATCATTCGTTCAAAAATACTACACAACACTTTATATGCTTCAGGTGTAGTAACAGATGCACGTGCAAGTATTATTTCTCTAATAAACCATGTTTCATCAATTTGTCTTCCAGTAAGTCTTTTCCAAAAATCATTTATTAAATCTTTTACATAACATTTCCCACACATTCCTTGTGGTACTAATGACCATTGAACTGCTTCTGTTTGAACAAAATCACATCCACAACTATTACATACTTCTTGCATCTTTTTTGAATCAATAAAAGAGACTGTTGGTTGAGTAAAGAAACAACAAATTTGTGAAAGAACATCTATTCCAATATTTCTCACTGCTGAATTGAAATTATTATGAACTAATTGATTTAACAATACATTAATTAACAATTGAAGTATTAATAATGCTGACGGAAATTCTACTGTTGATGAAAGAGAAATTAAATCAAGTGTGAATGTATTTAATAATGATGGAGATGCTGTTGATTGTAATGCACCAAAAAAACTACGAATAAATTGTGTACCTAGTGCTGTTGTTTGTTTTATGTCACCATTACATTGTAATGCAATAATTAATGCTGCATCCAATGGAACACACTCACAACTAACTACAGACTTAGAACGAGGTGCTGTAGAAGTTGAAAGTGCAATACAAATATCTTGAACAATTTGAGGAATTAATGATGGATATTTTTTCCATGCTGCAACAAGTACTTCAGTAGATGTTAAGTGTAATGGTTGAATATCATTACTAAGAAAAAGAAGAATTGGAGTTAATGTCATTAATACATTTGATTCAGTTAATGACTTTGATTGTATTCCATCGATTAATCCTTTTAATACTAAACGAAAGATAGAATGATACTCTGATTTTTCAAATAAATGTTCTGATGTTGCTGAATGAAGTATTTCAGAAATTGTATTATAATCTACGTTTTGATTAATGACACAATGTATTCCACAAGCACACAATGAAGATAAATTATTATTTTGAACTAAAGGAATAAGTTGTATTAATGCTTGTTTTTGGTCTTGAGCAGATTCATTAAAAAATGTCGTATTGTTTATCATTAATTCAGCAAGACCCAATAAGTTATGATTCTTTACTAAATTTATAATTAATTTGTTATAATCTTCATGAAGAGACATCTCTTTTCTAATTATTTTAAGATTTTTTCTTTTTTCATTCACAAATATTGAGGTTTCTTTTTTGTTATTAAAAATAAATAATGTTATTTAAACTTTCCATCCCAAACAATATAAAAAGAAACTAAAAAAAATTGATAAAAACTTAAAAATCGAAAAATAAATAAAAAATTGAATTCTATTGATGAGCCAACAACCAGCTCCTCCACAACCTATTCCAGGTATTCCAACAAATTGCACAATGAACATTAGTAATTCATTTGTTATTAGTTATCTAAATAATCAAGGGGTTATAAATTTATCTGGAAATCACTCCCAAGATGCACAGAATTTATTGAGTGGTATTAAACAAAAAGAAGTTCAAAATAAAGCACAAACAACTAAAGAAACAGAAATACACCAAACAGTGAACCAAGAAAAGAATTCTCAAAATTCTTGTGATTACCAAAACATTTCTGAAATAAATGAAATGAAAGAATCATCACAACCAGTTGAAGAAGAACACCTTCATGGTAGTGATCCTGAATTAAGTACTGTTACTAGTATTCTTAAATCAATGGAAAGTGATTTAACTGCTTTAATTAAAAAAGAAAAGACGATTACTGAAACTGTTAACCAATTAACAGAATCTAAAAAAACTTTAAAATCTCCAAGTCAAGTTCAAGACCTTCATGAACAAGTTGAGTCTAATGAAAAAATGCTAGAAAAAGTTTCTAGTGAATTTGGTAGATTAAAATCTTTTTCAGTAAGTATGAGTGAAATGGTACGTCCTCAATCAAGAACAAATGGACATACACAAGATTGCCAAATTACTACTAAAATTCCATCATTAGAAGAAATAGAAGTTCAGCCTGTTATTGGACAATTAAAATTTCAAAAGAAAATTGTTGAATGGACAAATATGCGTAATTATCGCATTCTTTATAGAAGTAGTAAAGATGGACTTAGTGCCCGTTCTTTAAATGCAAGAATATGTGGAAGGTCAAATATATTAATTATTGTTTTAACAACTAAAGGATATGTCTTTGGGTCATTTTCTTCTATTCAAATACCACCTCCACCAAGATTAGGAGATTTACATGTTGGGGCTGATCCAAATTTCTTTGTATATTCATTCCAAAATCCATTTAATACTGAACCTTTAAAAATTTTAAAGAAAAATTCTCAAACTTCTATGAAGATATATTGCAATAAAGAACAGTCATATGTTATTGGTTGTGATTGTTGTTTTTATATTAGATCAAATTGTCCTTGTCATGTCCCCTCAAATTTCTGTGATAATTATAATGAACCTTCAGGAAAAGGCAATTTATTGTTTGTGAACTGTGTTTATCCAGAAAAGTTTGCTCTTCAAGAATTGCTTGCTGTCGAATTATCTGATTAATTTTTCCTTTCTTTTATTACTACTTTTGTTTTCTTTTAAACTATTATTTTATAATCCTTGTAAAATTTATTATTAACTAACAAAATGAGCTTTTAATGAAAAATTAAATAAATTAATTATCATCCACTATTTGAGATGAAGCAGAAGCTTCAATACTTTCTCCTTGATCTTCAAGTGTATTTGTTGTTGTATTTGTTGTTGATTTTTGTTCTGATGAAGAAATATCTTTAGATTTTGTATTAGTTTTTGTTGATCCTGAATGATTCTTATTATGAGAATCAGATTTTGATTTATCAGAAGTCTTTTTATAAATAGCTTCCAACTCTGTTCCTATTTCTTTGAATGAGGGTCGTTCAGATGGTTTGTGATTCCATGCTTTTTCAATGACATTTTTCAGAATACAATCATCACCAACATGAAGTCTTTTTCCAGCACCTACAAATCTTAAAATTGATTCTGAATCAGGGAATTTCATTGGATCATAAGGATCTCTTCCTAACCAAATTTCTAACATACAAATAGCAAATGAATACACATCTGATTTTAATGTCATTTGATCTTTTCTACTAATTTCTGGTGCCATATATACAGGTGTACCAATATTTTGTAAAGCAATAGAATTTGATGATTCAATAAATGAACGAGAAGTACCAAAATCAGTAACTTTAGCAGTAATAGGATCATGTGGATTTTTAGAATAAACTAAAACATTATCAGTTTTTAAATCACGATGAAGAATATCATTTTGATGTAAATATTCCATACCACGTGCTATATCTTGACAGAATCTAACTTTTAATAAATCACTCATTGGATTTGTTTTCATGAATTTTCTTAATGAACCTAATGGACAAAATTCTGTTACAAGACATAATGTATCAGCAGTTGCTACACTTCCAATGAAATTTACAATATATGGACAACGAATACGTTCCATCATTTCTGCTTCTTGCATGAAATTAGGTAAAAGTTCTCCAAGACCGACTAAATCAGTTTTCATTACTTTAACTGCAACATCAACTCCTCTCCATTCAGCACGATAAACAATACCAAATGTACCACCACCAATAGGTGGATGTTGTAAATGAATTTCTTCATAATCTAATTTAGTAGAAAGAGCAGATTCAACTTGAAGACTTAAATAAACATGGAATTTAGATACTTTAGATTTTCCTTTTTTCTTTTTTGAATCAGAGTCATGAGAAGATCCTGATTTACCACTTCCTGATGGTGTTGATTTTGAGACATGAGATTTTTTGATTGAATTTGATCCATTTGTTCCAGAAGATTGAGAGTTTCCTTCACCTTCACTATTTTGACTTGATTGTGAACAATGTGCAATTAAGTCTGGATTATCTTTTTTAATATCTTTTAATACATTTTGAAGTTGACCATAACGTATTGTAATAGGAACTTTCTCATTTAATAATGTAGTACATTTTGCCATGAATGAAATTATAAGATCAATACTCTCTTTTGGTCTAATTGTCCCAGTGAATGGTTTACACATAATTTCATATTTTGTGTAATCACCAGAATGGAATGTAAAATGCATTGGATATTTCCAATGGTTTGTTAAAGTGAGAGCACAATCTATTGGCTCATCAATTTCAGGTCTTATATCACCAAAGTCAATTGTATTTGATGAGAAAGAGAAATAAGGATTTTCTTGTTTTAAATCAATATATTGAGAATTTGTTTTATCAAATGGAATAATTGTATTCTCGAAGATGATGAGTTTTTCATCATCAATTTCTTGTTTGATTTTTTTAGTTAATCTAATATATAATAATAAGAAGAGTGTTAAAGCAAAGATATAATAAAGAACATAGACAATACTTCCAATTCCCCAAAAGAGGAAATTAGTAAGTGCTTTTGATTTGTTCTTACAATATGCTTTATCTTGTGAATACCATTCAGGTTGACATTCACATTCAATACATCCTTCTCCTCCATCACATTCTTCTCCTTCATCCCATTTTTTATTTCCACATGTAGCAAGAATACAACCGGCTCTAGCTTTTGCATATTTTTTTGTTCCATTTACACAAACACAATGATCACATCCATATCCTCCATCACATTCTTCATATTCATCAACATTTCCATTTCCACATGTAGAAACTGCACATTTTACTATACCATCAATTTCCATTGGTTGTGTTCCATATGTACATGTACATTCATCAGTACATAGACTATCAATATATCCTTCAATTGATGGATCACATTCTTCATCTTCATCCAATTTACCATTTCCACATAATGTACATACTCTATCATTTAAAATATATCCATCAATACATTCACATTGTCCAGAACTAATAGAACAAATACCATGTTCACCACAATCATGTGGACAAGTTGTTTTAATTGTTAGATTAATTGTAGCAGCATATTCTTCATTTATTTCAAGATATAAGAAATAAAGATGTTCATGATCAAGTTTTTGAATCATTCGTGCAAGACGAGAATTTTCACCACAACCATATGTCTTTGTTGAAAGACATTTTGTTGGTGCAGAGTTACAGTCAACAGAAATATTATCAAGTGATCCTTCAACTAATCCATAATCACTTAATTTTGCTTCAATCAGATCAAGTGTAACATCAAATTCACCAGAATCACAAGTAGAAATATCTATTGTTTGATCACTTCCTTCAATCATAAACCAAAATCCTTTATTTGTAGAAGGATTACAAATATTTCTTGAAATAACAGCATTTTCTAATTTATAAGAACCTTTAAAACCATTTGGACTAATTATAGAATTCCAAGAAATTGTAAAAGAACTACTTGAACAACTATGATGAGTATCAGAAAGATAGAGAGTAAAAGAAGGAATAGTCATTGACGCATATCTAGAATGAACAAAAATATAATATGGTATTTTTGGATTAATAATAGCTGTTAACCGAGGATTACGAATATATTCTGAAATTCCTCCATTTCTATAAAGACATTCCCTACTTTCTTTTTCTGAGAAAGATGAAAGACATTTCTCAGTTGTTGCAAGAACAAGTTCAGTTCCAATTTTTGTTTGTTCAGATTCTGCAAGATTTATATCATCTACAGTATATCTTTTTTCAATTTCAACATTAACTTTTCCTCCTTTATCACTATTTAATTGAATCCATACCCCATATGTATATGGACGTGCTGGATCAACAAATCTTGAACAAAGAGTTAATTGAAGTTTTCTTCTTTCAACAGGTAATTCAGGAATAATTACTTTATAAGAAAGTGGTTTATTATCTACTTTTTTTTGATCTAAATTAATAATAAATGGATTTTCAGAAAGTCCAAGTTCAGTTGTTAAATTAGTTGATTCATCAATAAATTTTCTACATCCTTGAATATTTGAAACATCATAAACTGAACAATTTCCTTCTCCAAACCACATATATCCTGGTTGACATCCTGTACAATCTTTTGTGTACCCATTTTTCTCATCACATAACATACAAACATCAGGTTTAATACATCCATTAATACAATTTTTACCATACATACATGACATAATACAATTTCCTTTCTTATCTGGTGTATATCCTTTTTGACAAATACAATCTTTTCCACATCCTTCACTTCCATCACATTGTTCAGTAAAAGAATCCCAAATTCCATCTCCACAAATAGGTTCTTCATTAAATTCTGCTTCACTAACTTGTTGTGCATTAACAATAATAAGAATTAGTATAATAATAAAAAGCATCACAGAATGATTTCATAGATATAATCCCTCTTTATGTTTTTTAATCAATACAAAGAAAGAACAAAGTTTTAATTGTATTGGATTTAATATAAAGAATATTCCAATTGGGGGGAGTATAGATTACTTTTTTCTAAATTATGCCAAATTGATTCTCTATTTAATTGCACTGACACAATTTTACATTACATAAAAAGATTATTTAAAAAATTATTAAAAACAATCTCAATGAATTATAATTTTAATTTTAGGATAATTTATTCAAAATTTGAATGTATAATTATTTCTTTTTTTTACATCTTTTTAAAACTTCTTTTTTTAGAATCAATGTGGAATATTATTTACTTTACTTGTCTCTCAACTTATTTATTATTTGGAGTAGTTAAAGTTTTGTTTGTCTTTTAAGTATTATAAATAGATTTATTAACACCCTTTTTTTCTTTGATTTCTCAGGTAACTCAGAAAAAAAACTTTATGCTAACTATTGGATAAATACTATTACATCTTCAATTTTTTCTTTTTATTTACTCTTTCCTAACCCCCTTTTATAATTTTATTTATTAACAAATAACAAATTCCATAAATATTTTATCTATAATTATTTCTGATTATTAGTCAGATAGAATATAATTTTTTCGTTTCAGACATTTAAATCTTTTGTAGTTTATGGCTCTATATCTATAAGAATAATTGTATAAAGTTTTAACCAATAGGATTTTCCTTATTGAATTAATGAATTCAAATTTCTTTCGTTTCCACCGATTTCCATTGTATTTACTTGTCATCTGTTTTTGTTTCATTTTTCAGAAAACGGACATAAACAAGTTATAAAAATATACTAAAGTTTTATAAAAACTATTTTTAAAACATTCTAATGTTTTTTTAAGAAGGTTGATAAAACTACTTTTTATTTAATGTTTTGTCTAACCAGTATTAAATAAGAGATACTAGTTTATACCTTACCATTGTATTGATGGTTTAAGTAAAAAATTAACATTTCAATATGACCTCTATGATTTGAATTAAGAAGAAAAAAAATATACAAATCTGTGTACAATTCTTAGTAACCTCTACAAAGTGATTGGTAATAAGAAACGAAAGAAATTTATTTTATCATCAAGAAACATCTGTAATTACAATTATTTAACAATAAAAATAATGGACTCTATTAAAGAAAATTAATTTATTTTTTTCTTTAAATTAATATTAAGTTTCATAGTTTTTCTTTATTTGTTTTAATTCATGATTATCAAAAATAAATAAACCATAACGGATGATCAAATTCATTTAATAGAATTTGGAAAAATGTTCTTTTAGTTTTTCAATTTCTTCTCTTTTTTTAGATAAATCAAGAGTAACACTTAAATCTTTTTTAATATCACCTCCAATAAGAGAGGCACTGATTTCCATCATTCCATTTTGATTAATTTGAATTGTAAATTCAAATTTTTGTTCTCCACGTTTTGCAGTTGGGATTCCATTAATGCTAAGTTTTGTAATAGTTTCCATTCCAATTGAAGTAACATATCTACCAAATCCTCGATAAATTATAAAATCCGCACTAGTTTGATTATCTCGAGTTGTACAATATCGTCTAGTTGTTCCCAATGTAGGAAGTGTTTTTCCATCTTCAATAAGCATATCAAATTTTCCACCTTCTACCTCTATCCCAATTGGTGTTGGAACAATATCATATATAACTTCTTTACCAATAGCATTTTCCCCTTTTTTATATGCCGAATATGTAGCTCCTTTTACAACAGCAGTAAGTGGATTAAAGTTATTATTAGCAAATACCGCTCCACCAATTACCTCACTAACTTTTTCTCTAATTTTTGGGATCTTACTTGTTCCACCGATTAACAATACTAACTGAACACCTCCAGATTTGTATCCTTTTCTTTGAGTAACTTCTGTTATTTTATTAACAAACCGTTTATATATTCCACTATTTTCACATCTTTTATCAAACTCACTACTTGAAATAGGAGCACAACTAAAGTCGTCTTCTTCATCCATGTCTAATAAATTCTCTAATTCTAAATCCATATCTACATTTACTGGTTTGGAAGTTCCATTATTTTGCTGAGCTAATTTATTGGCTTTATCACTTAATCCAATTTTAATTCTTTCTGCTTCTTTTTTTAATTTTATTAATTTCTTTCTGAATACTGTCTTTTCTTTTTGAGTCATTCCTCGTTTATTTCTATAATATCCTGGAATCCATTCTTCTACTCTTTCTTTAATAATATCAATCATCACATTATCAAAATCATTTCCTCCTAAATTTGGATCACCTCCACTTGATTCTACAATAACACTATCATTTGATATTTTACAACAACACACATCTAATGTTCCTCCTCCAAAATCAATTACTACAACTTTATTTCCATTTTTTAACGAATTTGAATATTCTCTTTTGTATTCAGTAATAGCCGCTGTTGGTTCATTTTCAATTGAAACATTCTTAATTCCTGCCAATTCACATGCTGTTAATGTTGCATCTCTTTGTTTATCATTAAAATCAACTGGAACAGTAACAACAACATTTGATATTGGACGATTACCAAGTTTTTTTTGTGCAATTTCATATAAATACTTTAGTATCATTCCACTAATTTCTTCGGGTTCAAATTCTTCGTTGTCTTGAGTTAATGGATTGTAAGATTCAATATAAACACTTCCATTTTCTCTATCCTTTACTTTAAATGGCCAATTTGCAAGGTCCTTATCATTTATATCACCTAGCCCTCTTCCTATAATTCTCTTACTATCATAAATAATACATTCATTGTGAATATCATCCTTAGCACTATTTCCTATAATCATATTACCATTATCACCTAATTGTGAAAGACTAATCCATGACGCTACCTGTTCTTTATCTCGTTCATCTTGAATTAAGACAGGTCCTTTTCTAGCAATGTCATAATAACCAACAGAAGCGTATGTAGTTCCTAAATCAATTCCAATTGACAGTGGATCTTCTTCTACAGCCATTAAATGAATATAACAAGTTTATTTTAACTTTTAAATATAGTTCCTATTTCTATCTTATTGAATAAACATCATTGTTTTTTGTATTTTTTTATTTTCTTTCAAATATTTTTATGTTTTGAAGGTTGCACGTCAGAAACACATCACAAAATCTTAAAATAACTCCAAGCATTGAGGTATCAGTTACAGTCAGATATGATGGTAATTGGTTAGAGAACACTTTATTCATTATGAAAGAATACAAATTTGAAAGAGTAGAACTGATTTGTTTGTGTTGATGGAATGTCATTTGTTGTAATGAAAGAGAGTGAGTTTATAAAGATGATAGGATTAATTAGTTGTTATGGTGTATGTGTATTTGTTAATGGAAAGAACAATTGGTGATGAACAATGAAAAGTGGTTGGTGGTGATAAATGAAAATAGTCATAATAAAAATAATAATGATAAAATCAACAAAATAAGAAAACAAGAAGAACAACAAATTACAATATAAATAACAATACAATAAATACAAAGAGTTAAACACAATAAATTAAAATAAAATAAAGAAGAAACACTTTTCAAAAAAATAAAAATTTAAAAAAATAAAAATTTACAATCTTAAAACACAAAATAATTATCCAAATATTAACAAAAATTAATATAAATTAAATTCAATAACATTTAATTATCTATTTTTTTATTTCTTTATGTTTTATATGTTCTCTTTTATCTTTCTTCTTATTTATTCTTTTTCTATTTATCTTTTATCTCTTATTCTAATATTCACTTCTCTTCTTATTTTGTTTTCTCTTTTATCTCTGTTTCTTTGTTTCTTATTGATGTTTTGTACCACTACACTCATCTTTCTCTTCATCATATTCTTCAATAGAACCATTTCGAATGAGTGATTTTGTGTATCTCCGATTTCTTTTTTATCTTGTCATTTTTGTTTTCTATTTACCAGTTCATTCATTATAAGATGAAAGAAAGATGAATAAATCCCAGAATGATAAGAATGCACAAGTGATGATGATGACATTCTTATTTTAATTATGTAAAGATGGTTTTGGTAGTTCATTTGTTATTTAAACATCTCATCATCACAATCTCATCATTTCAAACAGTTAAATGTCCTGTAATCAACAAAAAGAATGTTGTAAGAAAGAATGTCAAGAGAAAGAATGTTGTAAAGAGTATTGTTGTAAAGAGTATTGTTGTAAAGAGTATTGTAAGAAAGAATGTTGTTGTCCAAGAATTAAAGCATTTAAGAAATTTATGAACACATTTGAAAAAGCACAAATTGGAAAAGAAGCACCAGAATTTAAAGCACCAGCATATTGTCCATGTGGTTCAATCAAAGAAATTGATATTAATGAATATAAAGGGAAATATGTTGTGTTATTATTTTATCCATTGGATTGGACATTTGTTTGTCCAACAGAAATGATTGGATATAGTGAAGTTGCAGGACAATTGAAAGAAATCAATTGTGAAGTTATTGGGGTGAGTGTTGATTCAGTTTATTGTCATCAAGCATGGTGTGAAGCAGATAAAAGTAAAGGAGGAGTAGGAAAATTAGGATTCCCATTAGTATCAGATATTAAAAGATGTATTTCAATTAAATATGGAATGTTAAATGTAGAAACAGGAGTTTCAAGAAGAGGATATGTCATTATTGATGATAAAGGAAAAGTAAGATACATTCAAATGAATGATGATGGAATTGGAAGATCAACAGAAGAAACTATTAGAATAGTTAAAGCAATTCAATTTAGTGAAGAACATGGAGCAGTTTGTCCAATCAATTGGAAAGCAGGGAAAGACACAATTGAACCAACACCAGAAGGAATCAAGAAATATTTAACAACACATTAAAATAAACAAGATATTTTAATAAATTTTATTATTAAGAAGAAAATGATAATAAACATATAAAATAAAGAATAAACATAATAATTTAATAAATGAATAGAATAAATAATAAATAATATAAGTAGATAAATTGAAATAAAATGATAAAATGAATATAAAATATATTTTATTTTTACAAAATGTAATTACATAGAATTGAAATAGAAGAATAAGAATATTAGAAATAATAATTAGAATTGAAATTGATAAAATATCAAATAGAAATTAAACAAACATATCAAATTATACCAATCAATTAATAAATAATAAACAACTAAAACAATAAATTAAAACAATAATCAATAAATAAAAATAAAAATGAATAAACATGAAATGGTTCAACTAAATTAGTGAAATATCAAAACTACAAAAGAAAATAAAGTTAGTGACAATGATAATTATTCTTGCTTGAGTGTTGATGAAACACGATTACAATAATTTAAAAATATGATAATAATTTGTTCTATGCAAAATTAATATATATTTCATTTTGTTATCTTTGTTATTACGCCTGGTTACAGAAATCAGTTATTGAGTAAAGTAAAGAATAGTCAAGAGAAGTGAATAATAAGAATGGAAAAATTGATAGAATAATAAACAGAGTTAAAAAAACAAAAATTAATTGAATTAATTGTCTAAAATATAATAAGAACCTCTAAAATCTTGAGTGATTTAAGAACTTTGAATATTTTATTATTTTATTATTTCGACTGTGTTTTAATCAATCAATAAAATACTGAAATATCCTTTATAATACCATTTTCATTTAACTTTCTTATTAAATTTTATATAATGAGAAATGGGCTTAAAAACAGTGAATGATTATAATAACTCTTCAACTATAACATTCCCTTTGTTAGTAGATATTTTAACAATGAGAAATCATATTAAGTAGTATTAAAACAATAAAAATTTAGATGATTAAATTAAATCATCCCAAAAAAAAATATAAAAAACTTATAATACAATTTCAAATGGAGTATTTTTGGATAAATAAAAGTTAATTAAATAACATAGACTTTCTATTTCATTAAAATCAATAATTAATGAAAAACATATGATCAAATAAGTCAGAAATAATTGACTTAATAATTTTTAATGAATTAAATTTTTATAAAAATTCATTAGAAATAATAAAAAATGAAAAAATCTGCATGTGAGAAACAAGCAGTGAAAAAGAGATAATATAGAAAAATAATTCAATTTATGAATAATTAATAACAAGTTATAAAAAAAACATGAAGCTGAATTTAGGATAATAAAACTTTGAGGAAAAAAAAAGAAACAAATATAAATAATATAAAAGAAGAAGATTTTATTAAATAAAACAGTGAATTATTCACAAATCTAAAAAAAGAAAGTCCTACCATCAATAGCACTCTTACAGAACAAAAACTCTTGAGAACAATACATTTGTTATGACTAAAACTTACAATAAAGATGAAATGAATGAAGTCAAGAGAGAGTCTAAGAGTTTTGAAGGAGTACAACAAGGGGTTTTACTTGCATTATTAAATTCAATTGGATTTTCATTTGAGTTTAGAAGACCAGAACGGTTTGCTATCAAGACGATTCAATACTTAGTTATTAATGATGTCTATTTCAATGAAAAAAAGTTAGAATTTGGAAGTGTTATTGATGAATATTGTGATAAACAATATGCATCTGAAATAAAAAAAGATATGTCATCAAATCAAATTAAAACAATTAAAAGAAGAAGAGATTTAAATAGAGCGGCTTTAACATTTAATTGGCTTGTTGAATATGCAGAACAAAATGGATATACTATTCATAAACGCTCTACAAAATCATCTAAAAAAACTTTACAAATGGAAAAAATTAATGAAATTTCATTAAATGGTCAAACTATTATAACTCAAACTCAAATGAATCATATTGGAAAACAAATGAACCAATATGTTGTCTCCCAATTTGTAAAAGAAGAAAAAAGTTCTACACTACCTGCTTTTCATCCTTTTAGTATTAGCTTATTACAAATAAATCAAAAAAATAAATTAGTCCCTTTTATAAATCCTCCTCATCAATTATCTTTCAATTCTAATCTTTTTAATAAAAATTTTAATCAATCTACTAGTGAACTCTTCTCTCTATCTCAAAATCAAAACTCATTGGACATTGGCTTAGTTACAAACCCTTATTATAATCTTACTTTTGCTCCAGTTCTTCCTCCTCATTATTATTCATTTGTTTATTGATTTTTTTTTTATTTTTATAAGAAAATAATCATTTTATCTGAAATTGTATTTTATTCCGTACAGGTCATTGTAAAATGAATAAGTTTTAATCAAATAATATATTGGTGTTGATAAAAAAACAATTTATTTTGATGATTTATTTTGTGTTCTTTCTATCTTATTTTTTGTTTTAAATAATTTTCCATCAGAATTAATTACTAAAAAAAATCTAAATCTCTTAAGTACTCTTCTTTTTATTGTCTTTAAATCTGTCTTTTTATGAAAGAACACAACAGGGTCCCTTTTCAATTAGCTTTTAGGACGTAACAAAATTTTTCATTGAATTTAATAGCCTTTGAATATATGTTCAACTTCAGTTTTTTATAAATTTTTATGGAATAAAATAAGAAAAGAAACTCAACAAAGAATTGTTTTAAAACAATACGTTTGATACAAATAAATTTTTATTTTTAAGTTTAACAACATATGTTTTTATGTAAGATAGTGAGGTATTAAATATGATTAGTCCAACATTCTTTAAGAAAAGAAAAAAGATCGTTTTGATGAGAGGTTTGTTTATTTCTTAAGAGAAGAGACCAGTTAATATTTGAAATTGAAACTCAGCGTAAAAAATAGATGACAGATTTCAGAAGTAACCAATTGACAAAAAAGTAGTTAATACAAAAATGATTTTTGTTCTTTTTTCAATACCATTTCGTCATCACATGAACGAGACAAAATGAAAAAAAAAAACCGAAGATATAAGAAAGAAAAGAAGAATAAATAAACTATTTAAATATGATATTCATTTTGTTTAAGGAAGAGAATTTTCGATATTTGTAACAATCACGTTTAATGACATATGAATATAATTCAATTGTTCTGTAATCATTTTCATGTTTTGTGTAATCTGTGAATCTTTTTCTAAATTTTGACAAACTAACTGACATTTATTAAGTTGAGCTTTAGCATATTCAAAAGACATTTTTAAATATTCTTTTGCATTATCAAAAGTAGGGATTCCATTTAAATCAGGGATTGGAGAACTTTCTGTTGTTTGAGGTAAAAATAGAGATTGATTAATTTCTTGATCATCTTCATCTTCAATAATATTACATCGTTTTTGTTTTATCCATGGACAATCTCTTCTTCTTAATTTCCAAAAATTTGGTTTTTTTAATGTTAATGTTCCACTCTGAAAATATGGTGAATGACTAAGTCCATCAAGAAATGCTTTTTTCCATCTATTTGGACTTGTTTTAAATTGGTCTAATTGTCCAAATATATGCCAATGTGTTGCAACAAATCCATGAATATCATCTTTTAATGAAAAATATAAAACTCCTTTATGAATTTCCATTAATGAATAAATAATAATTCTACAAATTAATATCCATGAAACAGGTCGTTTACTTCCAAATACTTCAATTCCATGTTTACATAATGGACAAAGACATAATTTTAAATGATACTCTTCATTTTCTGGTATTTCCAATGGAATAGGTGTAGAGTCATATTCATTAAAAATAGGAGTAGTACAATGTTCAATTGTATTCATTTTGATTACTATTTCTTTAAGATGAGATTTAAATAGGGTTCTTCTAACTCTTTTTTGTTTTCAAAAAAGAAAGAATTTCCAAATACTTTTTCTTTTATCTATTTTTAGGAAATTTAAAAATTTTTTCTTTTAGAAGTTGACATCAACATCTTTTCCTCTTGTTTTATATTATTTTTCTCCCTTTTTTTTTCTTAATCTCTTTTGGAAATCTCCGTTATTTTTCTTTTTCTCACGGTATTTATAGGTTTGATTTTTTTTGTAAAAAAATATGAACTTTCCCTGAAGTTATTTTTATCATTTGTTCTTTTCATTTTCCTTTAGTTCATTACTTTAAATTCTTTTTTTTGATCCAATTGAAAAGTCTACAAAAGCAAACGAAAACAAAAATAGGGGTAGTGAGGTAATATCTTCTTTTGTGTCATTTATGAAATTAACCAGTTTTTTTCTTTGATATTATAAAATATCATTTATTTAACTATTTTCTTTATCCTTTCGTTTTGTGAACTTGTTTTTGGATTTGTTTTAATTCCATGAAATATTTTTCTTTTTATTTCATGTTTGTTTGTTTTATTATTCTTTTTAACTCAACCATCCAACAATACTAACATTTCAATAGCATTATATCTTTTAAATTAACTTTATCATTAGTCTTCATTAGTTACATGAGTTATTATTGATAAGTTTTGAATTTGACTGTCTTTTTGCGGAGATTGAATTCCGACAAATAGTGATGATAAGACACAATAATATAGTATCTGTTAAATGTTTTGTAAATGTTTCTCTTAGTAATAAAATGCCTAACCGACTATAAGCATTAATTTAAACTTTATCATAACCAATTCTCTATTTTATAAATTATTCTTTTAATACATACAACACCATTTATTCAATTCATACATTTTACATAGAACACTGACACAGGTTGTTTATCGTTCATTTATTAAAATTTTGTATGGTTGGTAACACCCTCCTTTACTTCAAATATAATTATCATTACATTTTGACATTGCAAATATTTTTGTGAATATTTAATATATTTTCTTCCAATAAATATTTTCCTGATGGTCCATTTTGAACATTTATACTATGAAGTTAATATGTATTCAAGAAAACTATTTCTTAAATTTGTCTTAAAAAAATAAATGATAAAATTTATAGGAATTCAAAGGTTTATCTAAAATAATTCATTTTCATGGAAGAATTATCTTTGATAATAGCTATAAGAAGTTATTATCATTCAAGAATGAAATAAATGATATTGGCAATGGTATACAAAAACTAATTAATAGGATGAATGTATTTAAAATTAAACATAGAAATAGTGTAATATGTATATTTAACTGTTGTCTACATATCTAATAAACAAAGATAGTAAATAAGTGTTTCGTTTATTTTCAAATCACTAATTTATATAAGAAATGGAGATATAAAGAATTTGGAGCGTTATGATAAAATAACCAAAGTTTAATACAATCGTAAAACCTATTATTCACTCTATAAAAGAATAAACTAAATTAACACAAGAAAAAAAGATCAGTTAAAATAAAACCATAAAATAATTTGTTGATAAAACAATTAGTAGTGTTATTCTAAAACAAAAGAATAAAAATAAAGATATGTTACAATCATAGTTTTATTTACGTTGATATTTTGAAAAGAATAACATAAAAATAAAAGTATAAATTTATTATACTATTTTTATTAGTATTTTTTTTCTATTTTATTGGAGTAGAAGTCATCTTTTAATTAAAATTTAATAAAAGATTTATTTTTATAAAAAAAATAAAAATAATTAAAAAGTAGTTAATTAAGTATTAATAATAATTTACTATCTCATTTTGTTTCTTACAAAATAAATTTCAAATCCATAAAAGATTTTCTAGTTTAAAATAAATAAGTCAAGAATGAGTATAAGGAGTGAAGAAGTTGGAAGAAAAGAGTGGGTAAAACGAATTACAGGAGAAACTGAGGCAGAGTTTCGAATTAATAAAGAAAATTGGATATACCAAAAACCATCACTTTATAGCTCTCCTGAAATGGTTATTGTGAATAAAATAACCAAAGAAGAATTTTCATGTGGTTGTCTTGAAATGGTTCCACTCAAAGATTTGAGAAAGTACCAACACCAATCTACTCAAGGTATCACCTTTGAAATTATATTGAGAGAAGATGATGAGTCAATTGATCAAGTAAATGTTGCAACAATGCAAGCAATGAAAGAATACAATAATTCTGTATTTCTTGTTGCTTCAAATTTTAATGCAGTAGAAAGTGTAAGTGAAACAATAGCACCTAATGACCCTAATTTTACTACGAATTATATTTATGATGGAACTCAAGGACCAATAGCATCTCTTGGGGCACCTGCAGCTGCATTACAAAGAACTATTTTTCCATTTTATAATAAAACTACAAAACCAAAAGAATGGGAACAAAACCAAAAAAAACAAATAGAAATATTAGGAGAATTAAATTCAATTTTTCATGTTATTAATGGATATCCAATTCTTGAAAATGATGTAAAAGAACCAAGTGAAAAAGATGAAGAAAAATACCTTTCAGTCTTTCATTCAAATGTAGAAATTTCATATATTTATGGAAGGAATGAATTTATACTTATTCCAAAACAAATGAGAAATAGAATTGATCAAGTATTTGCTGCTGCAGTTAATATTGGGCAAGGATATAGTGGATGTAATAATCATAAATTAGTTAATGGAAAACCCAAAGTATTATCATATGCTCTTGATTGTGGATATGAAACATGTTACTTAGTTGCAATTAAGAATCATAGAACAACAATTGTATTAACATTATTAGGAGGAGGAGTTTTTGGTAATTCATATACAGATATTTGTAAATCAATTATAAAAATTCATAAACGATATTGTTTAGGTAATAATGGTGAATTACGTAGAGTAGTTCTTCCTTTATTTTCAAAAGGAGGAAAGGGAATTATTGAAGTTCTTATTCCTTTATTACAACAAGAAAAGATTTTATTTAAAATTCATTATTATCAAAATAATCAATTAGTCAAAACCGTTTATTGAACTAAATTAATTTTTATTGTTGTTCTTCAAGATATTTCTTAAAATCATCACCTATTCCCATATATTCAGCAATTTCTAATATTGATTCATCACATTTTCCAATAATTTGAAGATCATTAATTTTATTAAATGAGTTAAATTTTTTCATATTAATATATACTCTTGGTGTATTCTTTTTTGGTAGATCAATTAAAGAAGCAAATGGTTGAACAAGTAATGAAGTTCCCAAAACAATTAATAAATCACAATTTTCTACTTTTTCAAAATTATTAAAGAATTCTTGAGGTAATCCTTCTCCAAAGAAAACTATATCTGGTTTTACTACTCCTTTACAAGAGTCACAATAACATACTTTTCCATCTCGTACATTGTCAATAAAATAATTTTGTTCAAATGATTTTTTACAATTTAAACAATGAGCAGAATAATAATTACCATGTGCCATAACTAATTTTTCTTTAGGAAAACCTGATTGAATTTCAAGTCCATCAATGTTTTGAGTAAAAAGCATTGAAATATATCCTAATTTATTTAAATAATTTAAAAAATAATGAGTTGGTGTTGGAAAATATTTTCCAAGACCTGGCATTAATTCAGATGCAAGTGTATAAAATGGGTTTGGATTTGACTTAAAATAATCAATGTCAAAAACAGCTTGTGGAAATGGTAAATTATATTTTTCTAAATTATCATATAGTCCTGTTCCTGGAGTTCTAAAGTCAGGAATTCCTGCACTTGTAGAAATTCCTGCACCTGCCATAATTACAACATTTGATGGTTTTCTGTATTTCATAAATAATCCTAATCCTTTTGCATTTTTTGGTAAAATCAATGGTAGAGTATCATACAATTTTTGAAGTTTTTCTTTTGAAATTTCTTTCTTACATTCTTTACAATATCCCCCTTTTGTTCCACAACTTACTGGATGTTCATGTTTATCTCTACATTCTTCACACATATGTTTTCTACATGTTACACAAACACACTCTGTCAATTGGCCACACCCACACTTAAATGAAAAATTTTTCATTTTAAATGCATCAATTTGTTTTGGAAGGTGCTGACACTCTTCAATTGACATTTCTATATTTTTAAGTTTTATTTAAATTTCTTAAATAATGGATTTGATAACTTATCTTTAGCATAACAAAAATATAAAAAGAGAATGATGTTTGTCATAAAAAAATTAACAACGACCTATGAAGAATGAAATAAATTATTTCAGTTTTTATTCAATCATAAAATTATGTAGTTTTAAAAATGTCTTTATCATTGTTTATATTAGATTAAAGTTATACTGAATTTTATTTTTTTTTATTTATAAATTGTATTAAAAATAGATTCGAAGGTAGCACGTCAGAGACACCACACAGAACCCTAAAATATTTCCATCCTTCGATTCCCCCAGTTATGGACTGGTTATGACGTTGCGTTTGGTTAGAAAAACATCTTACCCGGTACTGCAAGAGTAGCAGTGTTTATTATGTACAATGACAGAATATCATTGACAATAAACGAATGGGTATTTATAGAGATGTTATTATTACTTGTTAGAATACAAGTATATTTGATAATATAAGAAAGATTATCAAAAGAAAAGGGTCAAGTGGATGAGGCTAAAAGAATATTAGCCCAAAGCAATACAATGGTAATTATATACTCTCCTTAAAATAAGAAAATAAAAAAGAAGAAATCTAAACCCAAAGAAGAAGAAATTTAAACCCATCAAAATAAAAAGAAATAAATAATGAATATTTAAA